GAGTTTTAAATGATTTTCAAAAAGGTTAACAGTCCGTCTAATTGTAAAAGATCGGGTAGACCAGAAGGTCAGCCCGGATCATCCAACCAATAGAAAAATAGTGATTTAAATTATCTATAAATATTTTAAAAAATAAATGTTGAGATTATTAAAATTAAAAGTATAATTATATTATGTGGTATAAATTAAATTCGGAATATGCTTAAATATTTTCAACATCAAGTGTGTTTGTTTTTTATAAATTTTATAAAAATAATATTAAAAACCGTTTTTTATTTATAGAAATTTTCATGATTTCTTTGTGTGAAGTATTCTTATTTTTGTTTTTATATATATACAATTTTTTACTATTTTAATATTTTAAAAAATCAATTGCTACAATTAATTTTTTTCTTGTTTAAATTTTTACAATATTCGTAATTCACACCTTTTCTGGTGATTGATTTTCTGCATAAGTTTCAATATAAGGAACACATGCCTTTTTCAGTGAATTTATATACTAAAATCATTTTTATTTTTTTTAATATTTTATAATTATTATTCGATCTACTATCTATTTCACTACTATTTAAACCACATCTATTCTAACAACAAAAAAAATTATTTTCCTTTTCATTAAACTTTATACAACTTATTTATATCAGAACAAAACATTTGTCTATTATTGTGTAGAATATATTAAAAAATTTAAATTTTATATTATAACCAATCAATCTAAAAACAAATGAAATAATATGAAAAAACTCATCTTATTGTTGTGTTCATACAAAGAACACAACAGATAAACGATTAGAAATATAATATAATGATAAATATGGAATATAATATTCAATTTAAATTATAAATAGTCGTTTTATAAATAAACAACCATTCAATTAAACATTTTTATTTTTATGTAATAACAACCTAACATTACGCACAAAAGCATATACAAAGTTTTAAAGTGGCAAATAGTCAAGAAAGCAGGAAAACCGACCATCGATGTGCAAAAAGGTGGAAAACACTCATTACTCTTCCTTGCTCAAAGTTCACTTCAAGTCTGGTCCATCCCGACTTTACCCCACACTTATGTATAATATTGCTGTATCCAACGATCAGCACAGAGTCGTCTTAAATCTTGGAAAGAAACCAAAGAAGGGGGTATGATTGCGAAAAATAAGCAGCCGATCAAATCGTGCCAAGTTTCTGCAAATATAAAACACGTTTAGAACGCCCCACATGCAATTATCTTACCAAGACGAAAGAAGCCTAAGCAATGCTGGAATTGGATATAATCTCAGTTTTACGCTAAGGTAATACTAATTAATATTATTTTATTATTACAAACTCGTTATTATGTTCTTTTTATTATATTTCTAATTATTCTCTCGCGAAATACCGGAATAATTTACAATTTTTTTGGTTATCAGCATTTATTTCCAAATAAAAGGCATGTTTTTTAAAAAAAGTATAGAATTATTATAAATAAAATTCTTAAATTGCTGTTAAATATAAGAACCCAAAATAATCCAATTTACGTTAAGAAATTCAATCATATTTGACTTGTAAACTCGTATTGGTTAGCATAATGGATGTTAAATTATCAATACTTTCAAATAAAATCTTAGATTTATATTAATATATATCTACAGTTTTTATTAAGTAAAGGAAGAAAGTTTCATAAAAATAGCTTCGAAACTGAAACATTATTTAGAATAATATAAACATTATTATAAATTATAGTCACAATGCGCAGCGCACGAATAATCAAATAAATTTTAACAATAGAAAAGACCTTTTCATAAATAAAAGAGTATTTTTGATAGAATGAAATTGCATATATTTGAAATTATCATTTATATTATAATATCATGTAAAAAAACTCAATCATAAAAAAACCATAATCCATATATTAAAAGCATATATTTGTATGATAATATCATGTAAAAAAACTCTACTCTAACGAAAATTCTACTTCATGTATTCAAAACATACATTTATATTGTAATATAATGTAGAAAATTGTTTTTACAAACAAATCTTAACAATATTATTGAAATCAAATATGTAAACTTACAATCTTTTAAATATTTACTTATAATTAGAAAAAAATAATACATTTTAGATTTTTTGAAGATAAAAAATTATTAGTAGAATATAATTTTAACGTTTTTTTATATAAAATGCTACTAAATTAGTTTATAAAGTGACACATAAAATGAATTGCGAAACTAAATATACTTACGAACATTTTTAATTTACATAGTGAAACATCCTTTTTACATTCTATATATTAAATGATAAAATTTTGTTTATTATAGTTATTTAACACATTGAATTACATATTGATTATGAAATTCATTATATCTTATAAAAATATGATAAATGCTTCAGAAAAATAATTTTTGACTGCGTTTCAAAACCTTTCAAATTATATACGATTTGATACAATTAAAAATACATATCATATATGGATGTGTCAAATCAACAAATGTACCGTTAAAATTGGTGATTACAAAAGAAATATTGTCTTAATTTGTTTATTAAAAGAGTAAATTTTAATGAAGGAAATTTTTTGTTATTGCATTTAAAATTTTAAATGAATTAGGTCTAAAATATTCAATAAAGATTATTTCTAATTAAAATAAATAATTATAGATGAAATATTATTATTCGTGATAGATTATATAATCTTTAAAAAAAACCATATAATTTATCAAAATAAACTATAAAAAGACAGCATACATTTGAAGGACAGAAGAATTGCAATAATACCTTAAATAAATATATATTTCTAATTACATTCATTTTATATTCAGAGTATTTATGGAATTTATAAGTTAATTTTGATAAACCATTGTGTATTAGATTTTTTATTTTTGTATTCAATTATAGTCTTTAAACAAATTTTTTTTCAAAATTGAAAATTGAAATTTTAAATTTCAAATATTTTAAAATTGCAAGTTTCAATAATTGAGTTATACAGATGTTGCTGATAAAAAATTTATATTTGCGTTTTTATTATATTAATAATACCATACTAAAAAAATTATCTGATTTCACTATTATAAAAGAAATTTTAATATTCAATTATACTTGCACCCTTTAAATAATTTATCTTAATGCTGTATAAAAGGTTGGTTTAGTGTAATCGCGCAAAAAATTAAAATAAAGAAGAAAAAAATAGAAAAAGGGAAAAATGTGACTGCATATATTTATTTAGAAGTATGATGCCTATTGCTGTTTACCAATTCCTTCGTTTATCTTCATTATCCTTCTTTTTTGGTTGTCATTCTATGATGATTGTCTATTTTAATTTCAAATACTTTCAAAAAATGATGAATTTTACCAAAAAAATTGCTTTTTGTTATACTATCTGACACCTTAAATAGTGTGTTCTATATATAGTTTATTAAAATAAATTCATATAATCGTTCTTACAAAAAAGCTATGCATACAATTATAACAGCGATTTCATAATACGCCAAATTTTTAAAATTAAATCATAAAAAATATAATCAAGAATTTTTTTGAGTAAATTTTTTTTAAAAAAACTAACATATATGATATATAACTGTTTTTGATTTGTTCGTAAAAACGAAAATTTCAAAATTATGACAAAAAAATCAAAAAATTATATACTAAAAATACCAAGTAAAACAATTCATTCATTTTAATAAGTTTAAAAAAATTTAATTTATCTTTTTGTGTCAGTTAACACATTTTTAAGTTTTTTTCTGTTCTTTATTATATGTTTGTATCCACAAATAAATAATCTGACATAAAAGGTTGTCTGTTCAGTGCGGGGCACACCTGCTGTGGGCAGAAATGATTTATTTTAAAATAACCATAAAATCTGTTATTATCATAAATCAATGTGATTTATAAAAATATCATCTTCACAAAGCCTGAAAAATCTATGATATGCTATTTATGGAATTAGATTTTTTCTTTAAAGGACCAATTCACTTATGTGGTTTTGAGATTTCTTTTTTTTAATAATTTTTTTAAACATTTTTTAGAAAAAAAATTTTGATTATAATTGATGTTGTTTTTAAGGTCTTTTTTATGTCATATAATTTAAATTGATATAAATTGTAGTATAAATATTGTCATTTGCCTATGAGAAATATTTTCTTTTGTTTTAAAATAAATATATTTTTTTTATACGGCTTATAATTTCGATTGCTTTTATACAAAATAAATCACGAAAATTTTTCACAAAAATAATTTATATGTCTTAAAGTAAATTTTGCTACACTACATCAACAGTTTAAACACATAGAAATCTTTGTAATCAATAAAATAGATGAAAACAGAGTAAAATTTTCTAACGTCAATTTTTTATTTTTTAATATTTTTACTGAATGCAAATACAAACTATTTATTGGTATGATATACAAATAAAATTCTATGCTGTGAGAATAATCATTGGTCATAATTTGTTTTTAGTCATGAAAAACAATTTCTTATATAATCTATAAGTAGCGATATACTATTAATTAAAACTAAATATATAACACTTAGCAACTTAAATTCAATAATATCATATATATTTAATTAAAAGATTTCATAATTCGGTATTAGTTTGGTGGATAATAAAACAATATAAATACAAAATAGATTTAAATTCATGGATGATCAACATTAAAATTATGATCAAATAAAATTTTTTAACTTTCATTAATACACCAATAAGAAATAGAATATGTTTGTTGTTGATTGAAATAATGTTTAAAACTGTTTCATGAAATAAATAATCAGTTTTACAGCATCAAAAATGATGATATTGAATTAAAAAAAATATTGAAGATCATTTAAAATATACTCAGATATTTAAGAAATGAGAAGTAAAGAACGTGTATTGTTTTTTCTGTTTCTGGGTTCTAGTGAAAAATGAATTTTAAAATAATGTCAATTTCAATATGCAAAAAGCAAAATACATTGACAATAAGATATCTGTTGATTAAACCATTTTGCTACTGTCAAACATGATTGCTCCAAAAATTGAAAAAAAAAGTTGGTCAGAGTGGGGTTCGAACCCACGCCTACGAATAGACTAGCTCCTTAGGCTAGCGCCTTAGACCGCTCGGCCATCTGACCAAAAATTCACTTGTATTAATTTATAACGTATTTTACATTGCAGATACTTCAACAAAACACTCTGCAAATAATCGTTAATAAATTCACCATAAGTTTAACATAAAAAAATTAATAAGAAAGAAATATGTAAAAATTGAATTTTGAATTAATGAAATTAAATTATAGAATAGATTGTAACAGATTTTAGGATTTTGTTTTACACTTTTAACAGAGTGTAAATAACATAATGGTCTTCAAAAAATAATTTAAGTCATTATAAAAAAATCATGACCAAATAAACTATTATATGATATATAGTTTTTGTTATTTTTATGTACGTTTTATTGATTTTTTCTAATATAAATGCAGTTTGTTGCTGCATTCATTTAATTGCTTTCATCTTTCTTAGAGAATACCGCTATTCTTACTACCCTTTTAATAACTACTACCACGAAATATTTCACCATTCTCTTTCATGCATTTGAACGGCAATATTATAAATTTTATTTCGAAGCTGCCAAAAACCGACCGCGATTTTCTGTACGGCAATGAAATATTCAGCTGCTCTTTGATCAAAACGATGGACAAAATTACAAAATGCTTGGTTGTTCAGCTCTGCTCGTTGCGAATAAATTTAAACAATTTGAAGAAAAAAGATTTTTATGCTAAAAAAAGCCAGGAAATAATTAAAGCTTTAAAATGCCTGAACGATCTGGGTCTCATCGTCAAGAAAAGCGACTATATTGAGCTGGACTTCACATTCAGAGATTCTTTAGTCAGCGGGTTCAAAGATATTTGTAGAAACAGCAGGATCGTAGATAATTTCGATGATAGCACAAATTTAGGATTGGGTATCTTTAACATTCAAAATAATGATAAATATTTGGGTACAGAAAATTATAATATGAGCCCTGTCAAATCAATCGAAAATATTAAAAAAACCGTTACAATTTTTAATGATTATGAATCTAAAAATACATCAAACAAGTCTTTTCAAAAGTATGAAGAAATATTGCATTTAATCGTGGATCAGCAAGAAACACCGAAAAACGAGGAAATTTTAAAGTTACTTACATTTTCACGCATATTAAATAAAAATTTAGAAATAACAAACACCGGATTCGATTTTTTATTGAAAACACGTAAAGAACAGCTATGGATACTATTAATAACAACAATAAAATATCTTAAGTCAACAATGAAAATCGAAGAAAAAGACTTCATCCTTCTAATATTTGAATTGTGTGAAAAACGCCCTTATAAATCTTATAAAATAATCAACTGTCCAAGTTCAATACAAACATGTATAAATTATATGTCAAAACTAGGCTTACTAGAGAATTCAATAAAAAATAACACTGTAATACTGTCTATTTCACCACTTTTCATAAATTTGTTTGAAGAAAACTTGGTTTTGAGTGAAAGTTTTATGTACATCGAAACAAATTTCAAGTTATACGCATACACCACCTCGAAATACGATTTTAGCATACTTTCACTGTTTTCTAAAATATCATGTAAACTTCCAAACCTAATTTCTGCAATAATCAACGAAGATAGTGTTAACACAGCTTTTGACAAAAAAATAAGTGCTAAGCAGATAAGTTATTATCTAAAAAGCAAAGGCAAGAATGTTCCTAAAAATGTTGTTGAGCAAGTTTATATATGGGAAAGTAAGCGTAATAGAATAAAAACTAGCGAGTGTACATTGTTTAAAGGTTTCCTTAATTTGATGGATTTTAAAAAGGCTGTTGATGTTTGTAAAGAAAAACACTGGCTGGTTGATGTGTATGAAGATAAAAGATTTATATTTGTTAATAACTTATATGCTGAAGAGTTTAAAGAGTATATAAAGAATAGTTCCTTGAGATGAATCGATTTTTACTATTTTGCTACAACTCACTAATATATAATTGTAACTTATTATATGTTATTAAGGTATTCCATTTTCTTTTTTTGATTTTTCTCAATTTTACATGTAAAATTAATCTTTATTGAATAAAGTATAAATTTAAATTTTTTATTCAAAAAAACTACTTAGATTTGCATTTTTTGTTTTTTTATGTATAAATATTTTTTGTTTTTTGTCGTGTTTTCTTCATCTTGGTTCTCATTTTTACTTCTTTAATATTTATTGCAAAATTAATACACACAATTCGTGTATTATTTTTTTAATCTTACTCATGTTAATGGCTTGTTTCAGGTTGCTGATAAATTTGATCCGATTACCAATCAGTGATCCTAATTGAACAAAAACAGATCTTCAAAATATATCTTAAAATCCTCTTAAACATTTATTTTATTTTAATTTCGATAAAATTAAAAAACAAACATTTTTTTTTCTGGATATAGAAATTTGTAAAATTTCAACAGCAACGTCCTGTTAAAAAGTAATATTTTTTTATTTAAAAAAAATCATAAAATACAATATATTCTTTGGCTATCATATTTTTTCACGAACTTCCTATTATAATTATATTTATTACCATCTTTCTTACCAATTATACTATTATAGTACACTGATACTAAAATCTTTTTATTAATTGCTTTCACTGTTATTTTGCAGTTTAATTATATACTTAAAGAATTTTATCCGATTTTTTAGAGATAAAAAAAAGAAATTTTGTTTTAATATATATAGTTTGATATTTTTAATATATATATTATTCTCGGTTATTTTAAAAGAAAAACCATTTCCAATATTATTTCAAAACTTAAAATTTTTACCACACACACAAAACATTCAATTGAAACTAATTTTCCGTAAGAACAATTATCAGTATTTTATATTACAAAAATTTCAGCGTATGAAAAAAAAACTTTATTATGTGCAACTTTTTCAAAAATTTCTTAAAATCGTAAAATTCCTGAAAATTTTCATATTTTGTACTTTAATATGTTTTTTTCTTCAAAATTGCGATATATCTTTCATCCATTCATATTTTATTTTAAATTCCATATAAATTCCACCCTTTATTGTATTTTTCAACATTATGTATCATAATTTTTTTATAATAAAATGTTTCTATTTAGTTTAAAATACATTAAAATTGTTTATAATTAATAGAAAATTTGTTTATAATCATAAAAACAATAATCTATTTGATATTGAATGCATTACCTATTTTTATATTTGATATATTTCAAAAATTTTTCTAATGAGAAGGATATAAATAAGGAAAATGATAAAAAAAATTGATCTGTGTCTTTTAGTGCCATTTTTTTACCTGTGAATTTGTAATTCAGATCAAAAATTATTGATATGATTATTTTAATGAATTTAATTCCTTCGCTTTGATTGATAATTGCGTATTAAGGAAGGGATGAATTGTAGTTAATGAAAAAAAAGAAACAAATAAAACAAAAATATTTTTCTGATGTCTTGCCTTCCGAATATAACAAATATGAATAAACCAATATTATAAAACATAATTATGTTTCAAAATATCTTAAAATCTTTGTGTTTTCTTTTTAAGACATTTTTTTACATCAATATATATTTTTTGAATAGTAGCTGCATTTTAAATAATGTTTTAAATATTTAGCAGAATATGATTACAGGCTTGATATCAATACAAACAACTAATGCAAAATGAAGTGACTTTAACTAAAGTCGATTCTTTTTTTATTACACGGCTAGATACCTCGTGGTTAGCAGAAAGTTAGATAGTCATTGTGTTGATATAACCTTTCTCAACCCATAGCAAATATCTAGAGTATAAAAACTCTTTTTAATTAAAACCCGTGCCCTTAAATTCTAAAAACAATTCCTTTTATCAAAACTCTTTTAATGAACACAACCAAGAACGATGGAAACCCCAATCCAAGTCTAATGTTGTCAAGTCTTTATTTCACCTTTACCACACCAATTGTTTAAAGGAAATGAAGCAAGACAGTCATAAAAACTCATATCTCAAACCCTTTCTTTGTTTATATTATGGTCATATATCCGGTCATTTTTTAATGCTTTTATTAGGTCAACAAAAATATTTTTAAAGCAAATATTCCATCTGTTTATTTAACGCTCGTAAACACCAATAAAATTATCATGAAAACTTATTAATATGTTTTTATAATATATCTTTTGATTTGAAATAAAAAAAATGCAAACATTATGTACATATTTTTAAATACACAGAGGGAAGTAAATCAATTTTAAAAATATAGAAAGTACGACATCAAAAACTCATACAATATATGTTTTTCCTACTTTTTTTGATTAGCTGTCTTCAGAATCATTTTACCAATATAATACAGCTGAAACATTTTTTCTAAAAATTAAAAAGGTGCAAAGAATTTACAAAAAATAAAAAACAAAAATCCACTACTAATATGATCGAAAATAATGATCAGCTATTAATTTCATATTTTATAAAAATTATTAAAGATTTCAATTACGACTAGACACCGAAGAAAAAGATGATCAGAAATTTTAGATGTGTGGGTTCTTAGACTAGCTTATAAGAGAACTTTTAGAAAAAAGATAATGTAGAATCATGCGAAAATTGTTTTATTTCTTGATTTGAATCAATTAATGTCAAAAACCTTTAATCAAATACTGTCAAAATTATGTGTTTTTAGATGTTTATTATTAACATGTGTTCTTTTTTACTAATTGATACTTTGAACATTAATTTATTTATACTATACGACTTATATAGAAAATTTAATAACGGTAGTAAATAGTAATTTAATTGCATAAAAAAATTAGTATCATCAAAAAAAAACTACGATAATATGTTTAATCGATTAAAATACATTTAAATTTCCTATTATATTGCTGTAATTATATTTTTTTGTAGATCAATGATACGTTATGAGATATATAAGTAGCAATGAGAAAAAATCGAAATATGGTTCGAAATATATATATTACAAAATAAAAATGCCTATTATATTGTATAATAATATTAAAAATATATTTTTCGCATTAAATTTTCTTAAATTTAATATTAATATATATTAGTCTACTATTTGATTTTAAGTCATCAATATTTGTTTTACCGAAATTATATGGGTTT